TTAGTGTGAGCCAGCTCACAGTTTTTTAGCCTCCGGCTCACACATTTTTGTCTTTGCTCAGGAAGGAGGGCTCCAGAGCAGTGTTCCCTCTAAGCTGAGTTAGTGTGAGCCAGCTCACAGTTTTCTAGCCTCCGGCTCACACATTGTTGTCTTTGCTCAGGAAGGAGGGCTCCAGAGCAGTGTTCCCTCTAAGCTGAGTGAGTGTGAGCTAGCTCACAGTTTTTTGGCCTCCGGCTCACACATTTTGTCTTCGCTCAGGAAGGATGGCACTCCAGAGTAACTAATTCATGCAGCAGCCAAATCGCTCGCTCACAACTTTAGTGCCAGGCGCTCACAAAGTAGAATTTTTGTTCACAGGACTCCACAGATTAGAGGGAACATTGCCCAGGGGGCATCACAGGTCACCTCACCTGGCAAGGGGGCTCCCTGATTTTGATCAGTGCCCTCCCACTGACTTCGACACTTCTGAACAGACCGGGCACGATGCCACCGGGAGTTCTCTTGCAGTCGTCTTCCATGCTCGTGGGTAGCTCCATTAAGACCAGGTCTGGGGAGGGGGGGGGAATTCCAGAAGATGGCTGTAGACTGTTGTGTGTCTCTGCTTGAGTCCCTGGCTAGGAAGGAGGCAACGCCAGAGCTGTGACTCCCCTGCTACAGCCCTTCACAACGACTGGCACTCAGAGGTATACTGCTCCTGGACATGGAAGGTCCATATAGCTACATGGCTAATAGCCATGAGTGGGCCTCTAGCCTCCATGAAATTGTTTGTAGGTGTTATGAATGACTGTCAGGTAGCCCTGTCATAGATCTGGAATGTGGAGGGGTATCCTCCTTCTCGTTCTCAGCTCTTTCCTGCCCTGCTACTGTGTGCTATCTTACGCTTGACCTTGTAGATGTTCCAGTTGCAGTTTCCATGGCTGGGAAAGTTAATGGCTTGATTGCTATGCCCACTTGCTTTGCCACGCGCGCGAACTATATCTATTGGTTTCTGCTCATGGGGGGGGGATGCTTGATTTCACTATGTCAGAGGCCCTTATACTGACGGCTATTCCTGACACAATCTGTACACGTGTTCTTTAGTACTGGAACCGCTAATAAACAGTTATCTTCTTCTGAAGCCCTGTGTGGTGTGACCTGACTAAGGAGCCTGACAATGACTTCCGGTGACCCTATGAATGAATGACCTCCAAACATCCTATCGACAGAAGAAGAGATTGGATTTATACCCCGCCCTTCACTCGGCATCTCAGAGCGGCTTACAAACTCCTTTCCCTTCCCCTCCCCACAACAGACACCCTGTGAGGTGGGTGGGGCTGAGAGAGCTCTGACACAAACTGCCCTTTCAAGAACAGCTCTTATCAGAACTACGGCTTGCCCAAGGTCATCCAGCCAGGTGCAAGTGGAGGAGAAGTGGGGAATCGAACCCGGCTCTCCTAGATTAGAGTCTGCACACTTAACCACTACACCAAACTGGCTTGCTGAGGTCTTGCAAACTGAAGGCCCCTGTGGCTTCCTTAGTTGCGTCAGTCCATCTCACGCTGGGTCTTTCCTACTGCCTTAAACTCTTCCTAGCATTACTGTCTTTTCCAGAAGACAAGAGCCACCCTGCCAACAAAAGTCCATATGGTCAAAGTGATGGTGTTCCCAGTAGCAATGTATGGCTGCAAGAGTTGGACCATAAGGAAGGCCGAGCGCCAAAGAATAGATGCTTTCGAATTGTGGTGCTGGAGAAGACTCTTGAGAGTCCCTTGGACTGCAAGGAGATCGAATCAGTCAATCCTAAAAGAAATCAACCCTGACTGTTCCCTGGAAGGCCAGATAATGAAACTGAAGCTCAAATACTTTGGCCACCCAATGAGAAGGGAGCACTCACTGGAGAAGAAGACCCTGATGCTGGGAAAGATTGAAGGTCAAAGAAGACGGGGACGGCAAAGGGTGAGATGGTTGGACAGTGTCATCGAGGCAACGAAGATGAAGTTGAGCAAACTTCAGAGGACGGCGGAAGACCGGAAGGCCTGGCGTGATCTGGTCCATGGGGTATATTTTGCCTTTTTTCTGCTGTATTCTCTGGAGACACTGTGCCCTGCTCAGCGCATTGCCACCCCCCCCAAGCTCCCCCCCCCGCGCTGGATCCTGGAGCCCGCGCAGGCCTGGCTGGCTTCTCTCCCCACCCGGGAGCTCTGCGCGGGCACTCCCTTCCTTCTGGCATCTCCTTGGCAGGGCCTTCCCCGAGTTTGAAGCACCAGCTCCAGCCTGCTAATTGAGTACAAATGAAGCGGGCCTGTAATTAGCCGTCTGGCCCGCCCTCCCAGCAGCACCAGCTGTCACTGGGGCTCCGTCTGGCTTGGTGCCCCCCCCCGCTAGCTGGGCACCAGGCCGACTCTGGGAAATGCCACCCTGCACTGCTCGTGCTGAGTGGGCGAGGACTGCTTTCGAACAGGAGCTGCCGGATCAGAGCGGCCTTTGTGGCAAGGAGGGAGGCCGGAAGCCAGAGAGGCACAAGGGGCGGGGAGGGGGGCGAATTCCCAACTTCCTTGCCCCTCTGCCCCCTGAAAGGTGCCTTGCCTAGACATCCCTCTTCCCTCATGCCCAGTCTGCTCAGAGGTCTCCCCCTCCAGCAACAAGGCTAGCCTCTGAAGATGCCTCACCAGAGGCAGAGAGCCAGTTTAGTGCAGTGGTTAAGTGCGCGGACTCTAATCTGGGAGAACCGGGTTCGATTCCCCACGCCTCCACTTGCAGCTGCTGGATGACCTTGGGACAGTCACAAGTTCTCTCAGAGCTGTCCTTGAAAAAGAGCCGTTTCTGTCAAGAGCTCTCTCAGCCCTTTCTACCTCACAGGGGGTGTCTGTTGTGGGGAGGGGAAGGGAAAGGAAAAGAGTTTGTAAGTCGCTCTGAGACTCCTTCAGGTAGCGAAGGGCAGGATATACATCCAATCTCCTCCTCCACCTCCTCTTCTTAGAGAGCCAGTTTGGTGTCGTGGTTAAGTGCGCGGACTGTAATCTGGGAGAATCGGGTTTGAGTCCCCACTTCTCCTCCACTTGCAGCTGCTGGTGTGACCTTGGGTCAGTCACAGGTTCTCTCAGAGCTGTCCTTGAAAAAGAGCCGTTTCTGTCAAGAGCTCTCTCAGCCCCGCCTCCCTGGAGGGGAAGGGAGAGGAGTTTGTCAACCGCTCTGAGACACCTTTGGGTAGTGAAGGGCCATGGGGTATATATCTAATCTCTTCTTTTATTTATTTATTTATTTATTTAGATTTCTACCCCGCCCTCCCCGCAAGGCAGGCTCAGGGCGGCTTCCAATGACATAAATACATGATAAAAACATACATAATACAAATTAAAACATAACAGTTAAAATTAATACATTACAAAATACGTTCTTCTTCTTCTTCTATCTGGAGGCCGGTGGAACTGCCGACCACTTGAGGCCTCTGTCAAGATCTGGAAGGGAGGCCTGGTTCACCGGGCACCTTTTTTTTGGGGGGGGGGCACACACTGACTCTGGCATTCGCCCACACCCACTACCCCCAATGTCATCAGAGAAGCTGGGTGGGGGGCTGCATAGGGTTTCTAACCAGTGTTCCCTCTAAGCTGAGTCAGTGTGAGCTAGCTCACAGTTTTTTTACCCTCCAGCTCCCACATTTTGGCCTGAGCTCAGGAAGCATGGCTCCAGAGCAAGCTAATTCATGCAGTAGTCAAAATCGCTCGCTCACAGCTTTAATGCCGGTAGCCCACCGAGTAGAATTTTTGCTCACAAGACTCCACAGCTTAGAGGGAGCATTATTTCCAACTCCAGCGTGGGAAATTTCTAGAGATGGGGGGGGGGGGAA